GCTTTTATTTTTCACCCACGCTTAAGGTGGGTCAGAGCAGGAATTATCATCTCTACTTTGTGGAACAGTCAGTTAAGAGCCGGAGTAGTTTCTCCCATTTCTCTAAATTGCAAGTTAGAAACAAAATGAGGCAATGCCCAGGGTTTTTGTCAGCCTCTGTTTGCAGTGCACCCCGGGAGTGACCGGCTACGAATTATCACGTGTGATTCACTCATTTGAGTTTCACGGTGGATACAACTGCGTCTCCATGGCGGGCAAGGGAACAGCCAGTGAGACTGAGTTACTGGTGGAAGCCGCCCGAGGCTGGTAATTAACAGACCCTTTTTTTCCTTTCTGCTGTGCCTGTGTTAGGCTCCCTGGCTCCAGCTTGGTTCCCATGCATGGGCTTCGCCATCTGGTCCTACTGGGTCACCTCAGGGGACTTGTGCCCCAGCCGCACCCAGCACAGCCCACTAGCTGGATGGTGGCGTCTACAGCTACACGCGCTGCCCTGAGCCCTCCAGGAGTGGACAGGAGGGGATGGCACCCATCTGCTGAACCTGGCCTGCCTCTCCTGCCCCTCCGAGTAGTAAGGACTCCAGCTTGTCGCTGGCGACGGCTCATGATTAACACGGGAGCTTGGGGCCGTCTTTGTGATGGTCAGTCATGGGAAAGATTTATGGCCACTTTAAAAGTGGCTTTGAAACGAGATGAAGATCAATATTGAATTATTATTATTATTATTTTTTGCCTCTTTTTTCCTTTGGGATTTCAGAGCCTATGAGATCCACTTCCTCACATTAACATATTCCTTTTTTTTTTGTCTTTTTCGTTTTTTACCGGTACCAGGGATCGAACTCACGACTGCCTGCTTGCAAGGCAGGCACTTATGCCGCTGAGCTAAATCCCCAGCCCCCATTAGCGTATTCCTAATGAGATCTTACTAGGGTGAAATTCATAGCAGCCTTCACTTGTCCTGAGAGAAGGAAGTGGCTGAGGAGGGGTCTGGGCTGCCAGGCCTGGGCCTGCCCTTGGTTGTGGGCTCTGCTCAGTGAGCCTCATCCTAGCGGTCCTATCACTGTCCCCAAAAGGAGCCCGGGGGCTGTTCCCCAGGTCTCTCGGGGCAGTGGGCCTGGGTGTGAATTCTGGTTTGGTGACTGCCCTGGCATGGGCAGCTGGTACTCTCTGAGCCCTAGTCCTCTCCCCTGCACAGCAGGTCTCATAAAAACTCACAAGTGACAATCTGTGTGAGAAAGACATGTACCCTTTGCTTACTGCAGGACCCCCATGCCTGATGTGTCAGTGGCTAGAAGTATAGACAATAGCGTGTCTTGGTTATGTTTCTCTGGTTGCTGGGACAAAAATACCAGCATGGCAGAGGAGCAGTGACAGTTCATGGTGGCAGAAGACGGCAAAGCAACAAGATCAAAAGAGGCCAAAGGGAGGAGCAAGCCTCTTTCTCCCCTTATACCGGATGTAGGCCACCCACCGCAGGGCGGGTGCAGTGCTTACACCATCAGTCCCACTGCTACAAAATGAACCTATATCACAATGAGATTCAGCAGCCTGCAAAAAGCCCGCCTTCCGTAACCACATGTGGCTTTGGTGGCACATCAGTACACAAACCACGACAGCAGGGCCCGGCCTGCCTGTGGTGCTGGTGAAGGTGTGCTCAGGAGCCATTCCCAGTGGGCTCATGTGATGTGGTTCAGAGTCCCAACCTCTCTGTCAGGTCTGACGCTGCATCAGTGTACTCGGGCAGGCTCTAGGGACATTCTTGCTGGATGACATCATTTTCCTTTTCTCCTGGGCCCTGCTGGCTTCTCACAGGTAGCAGCATTTTCACTGTCACCTCAAGCAGACCCTTGTTATGTCACCCAGCGACACTTTGATGAGGTGGGGCAGCTGGGTTCTGTGTTTCAGGGTGAAAAGCAAGAAAGGGTCTGTGGACCAAGTGGCCCCTCTGTGGGCCTCTATCTCGATGTTCGTATGAGTAGTTCTCAGCCTGACTGCTGGTGAGAATCCCCTGGAGCAGCTGAGCATGGTGGCACACTTCTGTAGTCCTAACCCTCTGGGAGGCTGAGGCAGGAGGTTTGCAAATTCAAGCCCAGCCTGGGTAAGGTAGCCACCGGTCTCCAAAGGGGGGGGGGGGCTATAGCTCAGTGCAGGGGCCCTGGGTTCCGTCCCTAGTACCACACACTGATGGAGGAACCTTGGTTTCTGCTTTCCTAGCTCGTCAGGGCCATAGCAGGTGCAGAGGAAAGGATAAGGCTTCTATCACCTCTGGCCCCGTGCTCCTGGTCCCTACTCTGCTCCTCAAAGTCCTCGCTCTCCTGAGCTCTACCGCAGGGTCTCATGGGTAGCAGGGTCCCTTGGGGTCAAAGGTGACAGTGAATGGTACCGAGTTTGAGAAGTGGCACCAGCAGTGAAGAATGAAAGCCAGCAGAGGGCCAAGAGTTGGGTCCCCCGACAAAAAGTCCACTTCCCTGCGCTTGCTTGCGAAAGCCGCTTTGCTTGAGGATTCGGTGGTCCGCTCTGTGCACATCTCCTCCTGCAGGAGGAGTACCTACGGGAAAGGCTGACCAAGGCAGTGATGGTGGAGAGCAAGGGATCCTTTCTCCCTGCACCTGCCCTGGAGGAGAGGAAGGGCTGCTGCTGGGCAGCGCTCCGGGCAGGGATGGGACTCCAGGGAGGAACCCTTCCCTGCCTGTGAGCCCCTGAGAACTTCATAGTGCTGCAGGAGTCTTTGCCAAGTTCCGCATCTGTCTCTCAAGTGGCAAGACTGCCCGTTCGCTGCTCACAAGCGGTGAGTTGGAAGCCCAGAGCCACTGTTAGGAGTCTTGCTGTGCTACTGCAGAACTCAGAGCCGGGCCTTCAAGCCCACAGCCTCTCTTCAGGCAAAGGCCAGGCACTTGAGAAGTGTTGGCAGCTGCTGTCCTGGGGAGACAGCCCTGGGGTGCGTGTGACTCCTTCAGGTGTGCTGTGGCTTGTTGGTGGACCAGGAGGGAGAGGACTGGTTCTGGCTTCTCTGCCTCAGGCCCGTGTCTCCCACCCTCGGCTGGGTGCTCAGAGCAGAGCATCCTTGCAGGCCACAGCCAGATCAGCACATCCTGTCCCCTGGCACCGCCCACCCCCGCCCCACAGCCACTGTTCCAGGCTGACATCGAATGCATGCGCTTCCCTTTCCATATCTCCCTGCCACTCACACACACGCATGTGAGGCTCTACCATTTGGCTTTAGTGATTGCTCCACAGCGATTGAAATTGGCTTGAAATAAACGTCTCCTCTGCCTTACCTTGGATGATTTTATCTTCAGCTCCACTCTGCTGAATGGTCCCGAGACTGGCAGGCACCTGTGCTGTCTAGAGCTGCCCCTTCTGATGCAGGGACTTCCCATCCCCGACGCCCTGCCTGCTGGGACAGATGGTTTCTGAGGGCCACACAGAAGTGGCTGCAGAATCCACAACTTGCAGCCCCTTCCCAGTTGCCCCTGGTGCAAATTTCGGGGTGGGGCACACGCAGAGCTTAATGTTAAAAAGGGCTAAGAGGCTTGTTGCATTTGAGGGGTATTTGTGTTTTCTGGCTGGAGCCCTGAATGGGGTACTCACTTTTGAGGTGCAGGCCCTGTTCTGCCTTGCTGGAAACTGGCCCTTCCTATAGCAAACCCCATACCTTACGGCAGGAGGGAGGTGCAGGGGACACTGAGCCCAGGCTGGCCTCTTCCTGTGACCCATCTCCTAATGCTGGCCCTGGGGTTGGGGTGAGGAGCAGGTCCTGCTGAGGGATCCGCCCTGCTGCTCTGGCCCTGAGTCCTGAGCCAGGGCTGGTGTGTAGCATGGAAGTCCCTAGACCAAAGGGGTGACACGAAGGAAATGCACAAACAATTATGGAAAGCAAGAGACAGTGGTCCAGGAGCTCCTGCATCCTCATCTACACTGCTGCCTGCTCAGATGTGTCCCTCCGCCCAGGCCTGGTACCGGAGGCCTGCAGTCCTCGCATCTCCTAACATTAAAGCCAAAGGAACCTTGTGGACTATCTCATGCCTTCTCAGCCAGGCTCAGGGGAGGATCCAGCCCTGGCGCCTGGCATGGTTTTTCTCCTGTGTGTCCAGGACTGTACCAGAGATGCACCATCCTTGGGAGAAGGCAAACATAGTCACACTCGATTTCTAGGTGCTGCGGTGCAGACAAGGAACAAACGGAGCCTGACAGAGGCTTCCTCTCTGCTGACTGAGAAAAGCAGCACACTGAGCTGGCCCACGCTTGTCTTCTGGATTCCAAACCAGCTCTAGCATAGTGTCCTCCCCGCTCCCGTCTAGTGTGCATGCGCCTGGAGGAAGCTCTGGTCCAGTGTTGAGCCATCCCTGTCCCAACACATGCATGCACACGCAAGCTCTTGCACAGGCACTTGGTCCTCCTCTTGAGGCAGAAAGATGGACAAGCAGCTAGGAAATTCCTAGCTCACATCCTAGTTTGCGAACTTGCAACTGTGAGCCTCCATTCTGTTCCCTATGAGTAGACATCTCAGTAACCACCTCCTAGAGACAGGGCAGGCCAGATAGACAGCGTGCCAGCCTGGTGCTAGCCTGGGGAGCCGCCCTTTCCTTCCTGGCTCTGGTGCATGGGGCGGATGTGTGGATGATGCACTGACCGCTTGACCTGTGGATGTTCAGGCCTTCCGGAAAAGAGCCGTTGGCAGAGTGTGCTTTGGGTGCTGTCGGGGCACCAAGCCTGGCCTCAGTACAGGGTGCCCTCCTGATGTTCAGTCCCGGACCTTCACTGGCTGTGCGCACCCAGCCCCAGTGCCTGCTCTTGCTGCCTGCCTTGCTCTCCACTCTCCTTTCCTTCAGCTTTTCCTTCCCCGCCTCTTGGCACTGCTGAACATTTAGGCTGCACGGGCCAAGTAGGGTTGGCAAGCTGCTGGTCTGCCCTCGCTGCCTGCCCCATCGGGTCCCTGCATGTGTCATGGCAAATTTAGAAAGTTGGCACAGTGCAGAAAACGAGTGTTGGAGAGCATGTGTTGGGCTTGGTAAAAGCTTGCCCTTTTCTACCTGTTGGTGAGTCATCATGTGAAGTAGCCTCTGCTGGGCCGGGGAGCTGCCCACCTTCCTTGGCCTGGAGAAGAGGCAGGTGGAACTTCCGGGTTTCCTACAGGGTGGGCGGAAATGTTGTGTGCCGGCACCAAGGACCCTTTTGCCATTGTCCCCTTCTCTTTCCTGCCCAGGTAAGTGGATTATGCTGAATGGTACCATATCTGTCCAGATTTATTGGGATTTTGTGTGGTTTCAGGATCATCATTCTGGAAGGCTTTATCCTTTGAGAGTTGGGGGGTATAAAGTGAGGAGAATTAAGCTGAATACATTAGCAGAACAGAAGCTAGTCCTGGAAGTGGCTTTTCAGGAGAACGAGAACAAAACAAAGCAAACAACATTTTGGGCTTTGTGTTAGAAATGCAGCCTGGAGACTCAAGCCTAGTGGCCCCTGTGAGCAGTGATTGGAGGCTTTGGCCACCTTCCAGTTAACTGAAGGGTCCTGTTAATCGAGCTGGGGGTGTCTCTCGAGCTCTCTCAGGATGGCCTGATGACCTGCCTCGGAAACCCCTGCGGTCCTCCTCGTCACCTGCAGTGCCCCTCTCAACCCGAAATGGCTGTGTCGGTGCTGGTCCATGGGGCCTGCAAGGGAACTACCCGGACATGCTAAGCTTTTTAATTTAGCACACACCACGAGTATATGCCCCTAGACAAAACAGAATTGATTTATAATTCTCTTAATGGAAGCACAGGCTTTAGTTGCTCCAGAAATAGATCGTTACCTCTGCCACCTTTTGTAATTTTTTTTCCTTCTTTTCTTTTTTTTTTTTTTTTAACCCCACTGTGGTCTGGAAATATGACATTTCATTTTAGCCTTTCTTATAATCCATTTGATGGTAGGCTGATTTCTTTTCAGACCTTTAATTTATAGCATGTTTGTTCATTTTATTTCATTAATTACTGCTCTTCCCAGGCCCCCGTGGCAGGGGCTTTGTGTAAATGCCCTCTTCCTGTAAGCAGGTGCTTTTATCCTTAATGAAGAATTTCCTGGAAACTACTGAAATAAACAACGAATAATCGGGCCAGGAACACAATGAACCTGGGACGCATGTGCCATTCTGCAAATTAAACCTGGGGAGGAAGGAGGGACTGATTGCACCTGGCACAGAGCTGTTTCTGTGGGGCTCTCCTTTGGCGGGGAGGGTGCCGAAGTTCTGGAAGGTGGGTGGGCTGGCTGCTGGTCCAGGGCACCACAGTTGACAGAGTCTGATGATAATGCTTGCAGCTGAGGCCGGAAACACAGCCAAACTGGCTGCTGCTTCAGACTTGAATCCTTGCCAGCTTTAGACTGTGGGTCCACAGGACCCAGGTTGGGCCTCACGGCAAAGCTAATGCAATGCATCTTCAGTCCCTTTTCCTCCCTTGGGCACACTGTCCCCAAGGGAGGCAGCCTTCCTCAAGCCCAGGACCCCTGACAATTCCTTCTCTCCATGGATGTGGCCCAGGAAATCTTGTACTGCCCCCCTCTGGGCCCACACCCTGCCCAAGCCATCAAGAAAATAATAGTGTCTGTCCTTTGATCCTATGAGTCGGGTTGGATTATCGCCCTTGAGGAAGCTGGGTCTTCTGGAGGCTAAGTGACCTTCCCAAGGTCGCACTTGGATAAGCAGCAAAGCTGGAATCAGGCCCCAGAAACCTAACAGGATGCCAGAGCTTCTGGTGCTGGACTGGGTGTAAGATTAGGGGTCTGAGTGAGTGGTGGAGGCAAGCGAGGTGCCCAACAGGGCCATCATGTCCTGGCCTCCAGCCAGAATTCATCGATGGCACAGACAAAAGGGTGCAATAAATTTCTTTTAAAATCTGAATACGAGATTCATGTATTATACTGAATAGAGCTGACGAAATTGTACATTGTCCATCTATTTTTCTGTGGCAGGAGATCATTCTGGGTCTTTGAAGTGGCACAATGTTCTTAATCACAGCATAGATGCGATCACAGCGTGGACGCATGCCATCCAGTTGCAGAGGCAGCTCCCCCCTGCAGCTGGATGGCTTTAAGGGCTGCCTGGGAAGCTTCACAAAGTGGCCTGTGTCCCTGGCTGTAGCAGGTTCCAGGCCCTGGTCGTCTGTCAATCCCTGCTCCTTGGGGACATGCCATCCATCATTCCTGGTCACACTCTCTTCATTCACATGTGCACATCACACTTCATAGAAATGGAATCATAATGTTCACAGGTTTCATAACTCGTGCTTTCCACTGAAGCTGTACATCTGGGTCATCTTTCCATGTCAGTGAGTTTGTCTTAAAATGTCTTTTCTGGTAACAGTGATGATAATGCTGATTGTAAAAGATATCAGCGTTAGGGCTGGGGATTTAGCTCAGCCGCATAAGCACCTGCCTTGCAAGCAGGCGGTCATGAGTTTGATCCCTGGAACTGACCAAAAAAAAAAAAAGAAAAGTGTCACAAAAATGCTTGGCACGGAAAGCACAAACCTTGTATTACTGTGTCTGCACCCTGCCACCCCCAGGGGTGACCCCTGCTAATGTGCTGGTGCATGGGTCTCCAGATTTTCCCATGCCAATCTTTTTTGTTTTATTTTTTTGGTGGTGCTGGAGTTTGAACCCAGGACTTTTACATTGCTCTATTTCCCCAGCTTGCCTGCCTGCCTGCTTGCCTTTCCTCCCCCCCCCCCCCTCTCTCTCTCTCTCTCTCTCCCCTTCTTTCTTTCTCGCAATCTCATGTTGCTAAGTTGCCTGGGTGGAGCTTGAACTTCAAATCTTCCTTATTCAGCCCTTCAGAGTGCTGGAATAACAGGCATGCACCACCATGCATAACTCCACGCTAATCTTTTTATTTTGGGTTTTTTTTTTTTTGAGACAAAGTCTTGCTTTGTATTTCAGGCTGGCCTTAAATGCACTGTGTAACCCAGGCTGGCCTTGAACTCCCAGCGATCCTCCTGTCTCAGCCTCCTGGGTGCTGGAGTGACAGGCATATGCCACCACCACACCAGTCTTTGTAAATAAGATGCTGGCATTTGTTTAGCCAGGCCCCCCGAGGGGCTTTTTGGTTGCTTCAGGGCTGCAGCACAGTCTTCTGCCCATCTTTGGCCTTGGGGGTTTTAGAGAGTGCATGGCAGAAGCTGAATGCTGGGCTGCTCATGGGAACATCTTGATCTGAACCCCCTCACTGCTTTCCTGAGCAGTCGGGCGCACATTTCCACTGCCAATGCACCAGGGCAGGACGCAGGGGGTGTTCAGCTTTGGACCTGCTGGCCAGGGCCCAGAAGGAGTGTGGAGAAGCTGCCCCATATGACACCCAGGTCTCTGGGCTCAAAGCCTGTTTAACTTTGGCTGGGGGACGGGACCCTGAGTACAGGCTCTGGGATAGAGTGGAGGCCAGTCTTAACGCTGCTCAGAGCGGGCAGAGCGGTAGACAGGAGCCGGGGATCTCAGCTGTCACTACAATACTGCAGCTTCCACCCCAGGAGTCAGCTCACACGCACCGCTGTGTTATCTGTTGACTCCTCAGAGAAGCTGTGATTCTCTTTGCTGTACTTTGTAAAAGTGTTTTCCACTTTTACAAAGGTTTAGAGCAGCCAAATGAGTTTTCAGGGCCTGAGAGAGTCTAGTTCTTCAGGCTTTTAAGTCTTTTCTACTGGGAGATGGGCGAGGGCAGGGCAGAGAGGTTCATCATACATAGACTTACAGAGCGGGAAGCAGCGGAGTCTGATGCCAGCCCCAGGAACATGCAAAACGAAGTCCTGAGAGGGTAAGCAACCTTCCCTGGTTCACACAGCAAGGTGATGACTTAGCAGACACCTAACACGGCCTGTGGGGCCTGTGGGGGGCTGGGCCGACTGGCAGTGGGCCCCCTCCCCAGTTCAGAGTGAACTCAGGGGCAGCGCAGCGGGAATAGAGATGGGCCAGGCTCAGGATGCAGGGACCTGTGGGAAGCTCTGTGAGTGTTTCCACAGAGCCCTCTGATTTCCCTTCTCATCCTCCGGCAGCTTCCTGCCATGGCCAGGCCTTGAGCTTTGGATTAGCCTCAGTTTGGCCTGCTGCCCTCTGGCATCCTGAGTCACCTGGATGTCATGGTGTCTAATAAATGTTTCCTGATGGATGGGTCAGAGCTGAGACCAACTTGATCACTGTGCAGTTGACTGCCCAGAGCCACTCACATGCACAGCCAAGCCTAGATCCTCCAGCAGGGGGTTTCAGTCAAGATTCTTTTTTTTTTCCTCCCTGCTCCTTAGAAATGCTGAAAGTCAGAATCACAGAGTTTAAAAGGTCTCTGAGGCAGGGATTGTGGGTTGGGAGGAAACTGATATTTTATTGAGCACTTTCTATGTGCCAGACCCCAGGGCAAATGCTTCACCTGCTGCTTTGTTTAATGCCTGGCAGCTGCGGGAAGCTTGAGAGCAAATATGAAGGATGTGAAACCTGCAGCCCCCAGCAGGTCCGTGATTTTTTCCTAGGTCATGCAGACTGTGAGGCAGAAGCAGGATTTGAATTCAGGTCAGGCAAACTCCACCGTTTCCTTCCTTTGAACCTTGAAGCCAGCTTGTCCTGCATCTTTGAAGAAATCACCTCTCTTTGGGGGACACTTTCCCCTCCTAAGGGATGAGGTGATGGCTCTGCCTTGGGGCTGGTTCTGCCACCACTTTTCTTGCTGGCCGGCTCCTCATCCTTGTGGCTCAGCTCTGGGGAGACCCTTGACCTTCTGGTGGTGGTGATTCTCCAGAACCCCATTCACTACACCCTGTTCCCCTCTGGGCACTTGTGTTTGCATCCTGTGGTTTGCGAAATGCTTTTTCCAAATGGGCAGCATGAGAACTCATTCCCCTCAGGGGTGTGGCCCTGGGTGACCAAGCTGCCTTGAGAGTGTTGTGGACGGAGCTGTGGTTTATATGAGGGCAGGGAGGATGCCCACAGTTCGTGGACCCTGCAGCCCAGGAGGTGGGAGGGGGTGACCTTCAGTGTGCAGGTGGGGTGCGGAGAGGCTGGCAGCCCTTGGCTTGGCCAGGCTGGCCGAGTGTGCCCTGATTTGCAAAGAAATGAAAGGATGGAGATAATTACCTTGTGAGAGATGGAATGGCCTGAGAACAAAGATTAAGTTTTCTCCCTTCATCTTGTGCAGGCTGGAGGCTGCCGCTCTGGAAGGGGAGGGGTGAGGGCCCAGAAGCCAGAGGCCAC